TCCCACTGCTGACTTTCCCGTAACCGTCCTCCCTTCCCTGTCCCTATCACTCTCTCACATGCAAAAAAAGAGACGCAAAAGACCGACTTCCCCTAATCCTCCTCCCTTGCCCCGTCTCTCTCTCTCTCTCTCTCACACACACACACACACACACACACATGCACACACACACACACACACAAAAGCACACATAAGAGGAAAAAAAAGAAATACAGAAAAAATCGCTCCTCATGGTGCTGCAACGCGGCGCGATTTTGGGCCTTCCACACTGCACCTTAGCCCTTCCCCCCTTCCCCTCCCCCCATCTTTCCCCCATTCATGACATGTACCGCTATCCCTCCCACACTTCCCCTTTGTCACTGTACCATCCTTACCCGGTGACTGTCCCTTCCCTCCCATGACGTTGTGCCACGCGCCCCCTCCTCTTCCTCTAATTCCACTCGCGCTATCGCTCTTCGGCTCTTCAAATTCTTTCCTCCCCTCGTCCTACTGTGGCTTCTGCTGCCCTTCTCTCCCCTCCTTTCCCCAACTCTCACGCGCCCCTCTTCATTCTCCGTCTCTCACCAATCCATTTGTCTCTTTCTCTCTCTCTCTCTCTCTCTCTCTCTCTCTCTCTCTCTCTCTCTCTCTCTCTCTCCACCTTGACCTGACCTATTCCTGTCTCTTATACACATCTAGATGTGTATAAGAGACAGCCCCCCAACCCAGAATTTTATTGCAGATTCGGGGTCCTCTCGCCGAGCACAGGAGGACCCCACCTTCAAAAATAAAAATAAAAATTTCTGGGCTGTTTTTTTGCCCGCCCGGTTTGCCCGGGCGGCCCACCCGGGCCCGCCCGGCCGGGTGGCGTCCGTACTCAGTTGGACCTTTTCTTCTTTCTTGTCCTTTTTCTGCTTCCCTTCTTTTTCCCCCTACCTTTATTTAGTTCTGCCTCCCATCGCCTTTTCCTCTTCCAGCTCTCACCCACCTTTCCAGAACACCTCCCCCTTCCCTCCACCATGTACCTCCCCCAAAAACCCACCCGAGACCGGATTCCCTTTCTCTCGGAAAGACCGCGCATTCCACACGATCTCCTTACCGTCTTCCCCTGAATAGAACGTACACCGTACGGTCATTATAGCTGTACTTGAGGCAACTTTCAGTCCAGATATCGCTCAGATAAAGACTGTACATTCTACTAGATGACCCGTTGGGGCTTCGCCCTCCAAAACAGAAAAAGAAAAAAGCACAAAAGAAAGAAAACGCATAAGGAACTGCCCTATCATATGCCGCTTCTTTCACAATAAGAAAAAGAAGAGCCTGAGAGCAGACGAAAACCCGCGTGCAAGAAAATAGCAGGGAATACCATCGAGCATTCTTAAGAAAAAGAAGAGCCTGAGAGCAGACAAAACCCCGCGTGCAAGAAAATAGCAGGAATACCACCGAACAATGCGAACATTCTTTTTCCTTCATCTTTGCGTGTTTTGTTTGGGGAGCCGTTACCTTTGCAGCATCGTTTTTGTTTTGTGCTGTGCAAGAACTCTGGACTTTTCTGAGAAAATCCAGTCCGTCGTCCCGTTGATGTTTTTGGTGAAGATTCAGAATCAGACTTTGTTTGCTGTGTTCTCTGGATATGTTTGTGATCAAGCGATCTTGCATGTACGCCCCGTGCTTACTTGTTGATTTTTGACGCTGTGTGTGCAAGCGCATGCGCGTGTGGGTGAGTCTCAGTTTGGTGGGCTCCGATGATGTCAGTGATAATTGGCCCGGGGAAGTTGTTGGAAGGCGCCTCCAACTATAGGAGTGCCGCTGATGTTAAGCAGGTTTTGCATTGTATGAATGAAACAATCAGCATTCAATCTGCTTGGCAGTTGCTCTTCGGGTGGGGGACTTGTCGGGAGTAGCATTGACATGAGAGCCATAACGCCGGCGTGCATCTTGGAACATTTCCAGGAAGGCAAAAGGCAAAAAAGAAGCGTAGCACGTGTCAGAGTCACATAATGGACAGCTTGGCACAGTCCCCCCCCTTCTCTCTCTCTCTCTCTCTCTCTCTCTCTCTCTC